CCACAGACACCTGCCACAATGCCCGGCTATTTTTTTGGTTGCAGCCGTCATTGTTGTTTGGCGAGGCTGGGCTGGATTTGAACCCACCACCTTAAGTGTATGTGGCTGGCGCCTTAGCCACTTGAGCCACAGGCGCCGAACCAAAGATTTCTTTACAGTGGAGCAGTAACTGAAAGATTTGTGAAACAATCTGAATACAGGATTATTCTAGATGGTTGTAGTGTTTGCACTCAAAGATTTTCCACCCAAACTTACTTTTTTTTTTTTCCCCAAGACAATTTCACTCTGTCACCCTGGGTAGAGTGCCATGGCATCATAGCTCACAGCAATCTCAAACTCTTGGGCTCAAGTGATTCTCTTGTCTCAGCCTCCAGAGTAGCTGGGACTACAGGCACCTTCTACAATGCCAACTATTTTTAGAGACTGGGTCATGTTCTTGCTCAGGCTGGTCTCAAACTTCTGAGCTCACTCAATCCACCCGCCTTGGCCTCCCCGAGTACTAGGATGACGAGCATGAGCCGCCGCCCCTAGCTTGAACTTGAATACTTTTTAAATTACACATATACTATGAAATCAGTTAAGATACACATTACCTATGTACGTGTTTATCGTTGTAGCTATATGAAGGCATAGAAAGATATTTAGAATGATGTTATCCAAATGTTAATATTGTCTATTTTTACAATAGAGATTGTGTAAAGATTGGTGAGATTTAGTTGTTTGTTTTTTTTAATTTTCCCTCAGTTTTATTGAGGCATAATTGTCAAATAACAAAATTTAGAGGGTTATTTTTGCATTGCTTATTTACAGTGAAAATGTATTATTTTTCAGAAACAATAAACTGATATTTCCTCAAACAAAACATAAAACAAACCTTCAATGCTTCTTTCTCTAGTCTTCAGGATAAAGTTCAAGCTTTTGGATTCAAAATAAAAACCCAAACCTATCTTCCTTTACTCTCCCATTTAACAGGGCTGATCTCTCTTTAAGGAGAATTCCTTGAAAATTTCTACCTCTGCTCCTTTTGCCTAAATCATTTTTACCATCTAGAACAGGCTGCCCATTTTTATTTGACTTAAGCAAATACAACCCATCCCACAAAGCTCAACGCCTGGTCCATCTCTTTTATTGGTCTCCCCAGATACCCCCAAGATTTCTTAATTAAATGGTTAAAAGTATCCATGTAGAGAAGTACCAAAATAGAGAGTTCTTACTTCCTCTGGATTTAGTTCTAGGAGGAACTATATAGTGGGAGACAAGGAAGGTTCTCTCAATTTTAGTCAATTCTAGATTGTTACTAATAAGGAGCCTCTTGTGTGTATTAAAATAAGTAATAAGAATCGAGAACTTGTGTAGCCCCTGTGGTTCAGTGAGTAGGGCTCCCGCCCAGTATACCAAGGGTGGTGTGTTCAAATCTGGCCCCGCCCAAACTGCAACAAAAACATAGCTGGGC